CAGTATAAGGAGGCCTATACATGGGTAAAGCTGAGTCATTAGAAGGTTAAATGCCTAGATTACATTTTCTGAACCCCTCCCAGATGTGCTTTTTATTAATTGTGTTATAATATTAATGTCTTGATTTGTAGTAAAGCTTCCTCTTTAAGAAGCCACATGAGTTCCAAGTTGCTCAACATTCCAGGGGTGAGCTTGTCCCTCAGTTTTGGGAGGAGGAGCAATTTTTACACCACGAGAGACTGGGATTTACAGATCTTCATCTCAGACAATGACAATTATGTAACATCACTGACTCTTGATTCTCAGGGTCTTCCAAGGCCGAGAGTCTGGCTCTGTCTTCACTCACGGTACTGGTGTTGACCCACTCTATTGACAGCTTTGCTGTCCTTTCTTGATCCAGTTTTCTCTCTCCATTATCTGATTTCAATGTTACGGCCTTGGTGTTTAATTATAAACCATCATTTTGGAAAACATTGGGTTAAGCATAAATTGATGCCCAAGATTTTGATCTTGAATCTTTCCCATACTAAATACAATCTGTGTTTTTATGAATTTGATCAGTCTTTCCCTATAATCCCTGTCCATTATTCATCTTTGTGTTTCATTTGTAGCCTTTTCATCTTGGACGCTACATTTGGCTATCACACCTGAAGTGAGTACGAACCCTAAACACTAACTACTGTATATTTGGTACTTACTATGTACCAAGTGTTATATTAAATGCTTTATGACAAGGTTTACAAAGGGTGGTTTCTAGGCCAGAAACACCAGTATCACTGGTAAACTTCTTAGAAACTCTGATTTCTGAGACTCATCTAAGATCTAGTAAATGCTAACTCTAGGGGTGAGGCTCAGCAGTCTGTTTTCACAAGCCCCAAAGTGATTCTGCTGAATGCTCCAGTTTGAGAACCACTGCTTTGCTATTATTGTCTCATTTTATTTTATTTTTAAAGATTTTATTTATTTGACAGAGAGAGACACAGCAAGAGAGGGAACACAGGCAGGGGGAATGGGAGAGGGAGAAGCAGGCTTCCCGCTGAGCAGGAACCCCAATGTGGGGCCTGATCCCAGGACCCTGGGAGCACAACCTGAGCCAAAGGCAGACCTTAACTGACTGAGCCACCCCGGCACCCCATTGTCTCATTTTATTATAAAGGTCTAAAACTGAAAGGGAAATAGTCTTATCCTTATCCCTGTTTTACGGTTGAGGAAACTAAGACTCAGAAAGATTAGGTAAATTGTGTAAGATCTCACACATTCCTTGGCAAACCAACCCCAGGTCCGAAAGACGTTGAGAGTCCCTCCTTTCAAGTTCTACTCCATGAAACCCCTCCTTCCTGGATCTCCTACAGTTTCTAATTTGTTGATTACTAAACTTGGGTAAGCCATACTGCACACTCTTTTTTTGTGCTTTTGTGTTTTACCCCTGAGGTAGGTTCCCACCTCTCAGGATCACTTGGTGATCTTGCTTCTCATCTATTGTGGATTCACTGCGATATCCCTGTCAAAACTTGTTCCAAATATTCTCTACTTTTTTCTAGCTCACAACACTATTTCTTCAGTGGAAGTCCTCATCTCTGTTTTCCTAGAGATCCGGGGACAAGATAATGTAAGCCTTTCTTACATCCTGTCATTTCACTTTAGAATCTCAGTACATCTTTTTGTTTCTATTCCTGTGTTCTTTCTTCTAAGGAACAGGTGACCCTTTTCTCTGTTAAGATTGATTACCTACACTCTTGGTTCACTAGTTCACTAGTTCAGATATTGCTCAATCAATTCTCCCCTTCTCTCACCTGGAACTCCTTTCCCACAAACTGACCCCTTAACCTCCTCAATAAGGTGTGTTTGGACTTTTCCTTTTTCTACAGAGGAGCACCCTTCCTCAACCCTGCTATCAGGGTTGCCCCCAGTCTCTCTGTTTCATCTTCAGTTGATTGTCAAATTTCTTTAAAGAAGAACCAAAGATTCTTCTTTAATTCCTTTGCCACACATAATAGTGATACCTTTTTGGTTCAGTAGTAATGCTGAAAATAACCAATTAACTTTGTGAAACTGGATTCTCTTCCAAAACAAACCTAAAAAGTTCCTCAGTGGTTTCAGTGTTTCTCCTTTAATACCTCTGTCCCATTTGTTATCTGTTGTCAGTTCCGTCTCTGTAACAAAACTTTTCCCTTACTTGGTTTTCATGATATTGAAATAACAGAGCCCACTTAGCCATCTCTTCCCACCTTTTCAGTTGTGATTTTGTGTCTCTTACTCTTCCTATCAAATTAATTCATTCAGTGAACATTTTTGGAGGTTACTATGTATCAGGTTAGTGCATAAAATACATAAGTGAGAAAACAGTACACTATCTCAATCCTCAAGACTACTTTATGCAGAGGATGCTGTTATCTGTGGTTCATGGATGCTGGTAGAACTGAGGAACAGGAAGCAACACAGTTCTAAGCTTCTCTCCTAAGTAAGCACTTGTTTTCTTTCTCTATTCAACCCCACTAACTTTATATTCTCCAACAATTTATATACATGCCCAGGACTCTAAAAAATGAAAGCAAACACAAGCTCTAACTCAGAATCTATTTCCTCAATACAAGGCTTCTTTTCCTAATTGTGTAATCATCTGCACCTGAACATCTCTCCTGCACCTCTGACTAAAAATGTCCAAAGAGAATTGATTATCTGATAGTCTTTCACCAATAAACAGAAACATACTACCAACTGTATATTTCCTTCTTGACCTCACTGTTCTTAATGGTGTCACCTATTTCTAGTACTCCAGGCACAAAACCTTAGAGATCTCTTGAATAAATCTCTCTTCTCCACACAGTTGCATCATGTTACTGTTAATTATGTCTCCTTTTAAATATCTTTATATTTCATTTCCCACAACTGGTATCATTGTTTGTATCTTCATGATCTCTTATGTGTGGCTTCCACTTCCTAAGTGCTTTCTACAACTCTATTTTCTGCTTCTAGTTCAGCCCTTTAACTTTTTTTATCAAGCCGTCTTGCTGTATTTTTGATGATGGTGGTTCCCTGCTCAATACTTTTAAATCGAGGTACAAACTGCTCAGGGTAGCAGTCTTAGCACCTGCTAATCTTTTAAGCTGTTTCTTCCACCGTCTTCCAAGCAGTGTATGTTTGGGCCAAGGGTCCACTACTTGCCATACATTTCTGGTCTTACTCTTACCGTTAAGTGTCCTTCCTTTTTACTTCTGCCTGATGGAATCATATCACATTTAAAGGTTTGTCTAGAATGACTTTCCTTCTATGAAGTTTCTCTAGACCTCTCTGCCTTTTGAACTCTCTGTGCTAATGTGTTTTGGTATTCTCCTGTTCCCTGTTCCCTATTCTCCTATTAGGCGCCACGGACTGCGTAACATCGTATTTATTGTTATATGTAAAATTGTTCTTTCAAAGCAAGGACTGTGTCAGATTCTGTTCACCCCAGGAAAGGCCTTTACTTTGGTAAAGACTAACACTTGCTGACCTAAAATGATAGGATAAGTGTTTAAATGCAGATGAAACATGGGGAGAGAGAGGATCAACCCAAACTAACATAGTCATGATAAGTTGAAACAATATATCTTTTAGTACATTTACTATATTTCTTTTTATTTATTTCTTGGCATTTACTCTTCCTGTTTTGTTTTTTTTTTTAATCTATTAGCTTGAAAAGTGATTTAACTACTTGATAATACATACTTGAACAGTACTGCATATCTGCCAAAGTCAACAACTGGCTGAGAGGATGAGTAGACTATACTGCAGTGTATGTTACTTCATGTTCTCTCTCTTTTTTTTTAAAGATTTTAGTTATTTATTTGACAGAGAGAGGTTACAAGTAGGCAGAGAGGCAGGCAGAGAGAGTAGGGAAGCAGGCTCCCTTCTGAGCAGAGAGCCCGATGTGGGGCTCGATCCCAGAACCCTGAGATCATGACCTGAGCCGAAGGCAGAGGCTTAACCCACTGAGCCACCCAGGCGCCCCTCATGTTCTCTTTCTGAATGACCCTGTGTTTGTGGGGTGGTCTGATTATTTTTTAGAGCTCTTTAGAGAACATACAGCAAATTACTATTATCTTTATATACTTTCATCAACATTAGTATTCCTAATAATTTTATCAACAGCAACGATTAATGACAATACTGACAGCATTGTATATATGGGGCATTTTATATCTTTGCACTCCGTTCACTTTTTTAAGTTATTTGGCCTCTATAGCATGCTGAAACCCCATGCAAGACAGTGTCTCAGTGACTCGTTTCAGATCATCTTGCAAATAGTTGGTGGCTCAGCTGATAGTAGAAAGCGAATTTATGTTGTTTGTGTTTTGCAGCTCAAAACGTGGTCTGTGGATCAGCAGCCTCTGCCACACCATTAGACGTGGGGAGAATCTCAGGGCCTACTCCAGACCTATTGGAACAGAATCTGAACTTTAACCATATTCCCTAGATGCAAAGTATGGGATACAAAGTTTGAGAAACACGCCTCCACCTCCTAATAAAGGACAATAGAGGGTGTGTTTTCACCCCAGGGTGTTTGTAGTTGGGGGGAAGGAAGGGGGGAAGGGAAGATAAGAGGGCAGGGGAGAGGGAGGTAGGGAGACACCGAAAGGCGACTGGCAGAGGTATCTGGTCAAGGAAATAAATCCCAGTAGGACTTGGGTCCCTCAAAAGAGGTTGAAAACTGGGGTTTTGTGGAGATGGAACTTTCCTGTGAATTTGTAGTATCTTCACTTGGTCACTTTGTAACCAGTGTTTAAAAAAGAGGGGGGTGAGTGAGGGGTGGGGGTGAGGTTGTTTTCAGGTAGAACTGTAGGCAACCCAGGAGGATAAAGGATCTAAGCACAAAAGGAAAACCCCTTTCCTGAGTCTCCCAAAGCAGCTCAGGGAGCTCATTTCTAATACCTCTAGTTTCTGGATGCATTTCTCTCCCTCGCGTTTCCGTTTAACACCCGGGATCCACTCACTCCATTAAAGCTAGTTCCTCGCCTCTTGGTTTCTTTCTCTCTCCTCGGTCTTCTTTCCATTCCCGGGCGCCCCCGGGCCGGCCCCTCCCTCCGCGCCAGCTTGCACCTCTCCCCAGCTGGGTGCACCTGAGGCTGGCTGGGGTTCCGGACGCGTGCGGAGCGCCACCGGGTGCGGTGGAGGCAGAGGCGCGCTGACAGCCACCTCCAGCCCTCGCCTGAGGGACAACTCGTGTGGCGTTTGCTTCGGGGACTATTCTCTGTGGCGGCCGCTCACGCCTCGCCTCGTGGTGACTATCAACCACCGAAGCTGCAGGCGGGCAGTTGTGCGCCCCCGGGGCCAGTCAGCCCGGGCGGCCGCTCCTGCTCCCCAGATGCCAGGGCCAGGGCGCCGAGCGGCCGCCAGCAGGAGGATGAAGGGCTCGGCGGGAGGAAGGAGAGAAAAGCTGCTGGGGGCGACGAAAGCTCAGCCCAGCCGCGGTAAGTTGAGTGCAAAAGAGGTGTTTCGGTTCGGGTGGCGGAGTTGGCTGGGGTGCTGGGCGCGTGCTGGGCTTGTGCCCCCGCGAGAGGTGAGGCGCACGGAATGGGCATTTGCGGAGTCCACACCCGGGACGTCCCCCTTCTCCTGTACCCCATAACACCAGTCTGCCCCCCTGCCTCTTCAGCTCAGCGGCCAGCAGAGATGTGAGGTAGCTGTGGGTGGGGGGCGGAGTGTCCAGCGCAGAGCTTGAGGGGCTCCCGCTTGAGACCAGGGGCAGAGAAAGCAACGGCGGGGGGTGACTGGGTCTGCCAGGCTCTGGCTGGAGTCGAGGGCTGGGCCACCGAGGATGGGCCTGTCTCCTTTTCCTATTGGGTGTGTGTGTGTGTGGTGGGGGGGCGCTCTCCTTCCTTTGGAAACCTGGCGAAGTTGTTGGGATAGGAAAGCACAGCGGGCCAGCTTCGTGATTGTATTTTATTTTTATTTTTTTCCTTCGTCTATTTTTTTTTCCTTCTTTCCTTTTTTTTTTTTTTTTTTGGCTTCTTTTCAAGATCTTTAGGATGCACGGGATTTGCGGGCAGTGTGGGAGGCTGTTGTGTTATAGGAAGCCTTCTTCCAGGGGAATAATTTTAACATTTAGGTTGGACTTGGGAGGTTAGGGTAAATCAGTGTCCCAGGATCTGATTGCATTCCTGGTCCAGGGAACTGATTTCAGTGAGGGAGAGCAGGGTAAGGATACCTTGTTACTTCCAGCATTTGGGGAGATGTTTTATTGTGGGTGCAAATTAGGGTCAGAGGAAACCTTCCTGACCCAATACCGTCTTGCCCCTTGTGAAATGCTCAATTCCCTATGTGTCCCCCTTAGAATTCAGACTTGTCTGCATCACATATTTCTGGAGATAATGTTTGTCGGCTTCAGCCTGAGCTGCAGCGAAAGTAACAAGGGATGTGATGTTTTCGGGTGTTTGAACATTCCCAAATTCTGAAACATTGAACTGACTTGGAAGACTACTTTATGTTCTGTAGGTGTAACTAAGGACCCTGGAACTAGGGCCTTTTTTTTTTTTTTTTTTTTAATGACATTCCAGTGTTGTTTTCTTGGAATGTCATGGGGGAAATTTCTCTCTCTTCTCTTGAGGTTGTTTGTTAACTGTCTGTTAAAAGTGATTTTCATGTCTAGTCAATATTGGTTCACCATGTTCCCTGGAACTAACTGGAAAGGCTTATCTCCCTCTGGGTGTTCATGTCACCCTTGCCCTCTACTGGGTAATTTAGTCACTATACTCTGGTTTGTAAGCATGAAAGGCAAATATGGGTCATTTCAAATTATGTAGATTGATGCAGCACAGTGTGTCTGGATTTTGCTGCAATTTCTTCACATTTCCTTGCAGATGTTCCTCGGAAATTAACTTGAACTCTCTATCCATGGAGCTAAAATATAGACTGGGGAATGGGCAAACATCTTGTGTTAATGTATTATCTTGGATTTCAGTAAATGAAGTGCTGGAAGCTCGCTGTGTTAAGAAAAAGGATCCTAGGACAAAATATAGGGTATTTGGACAGTTTTTGCTCTGTGACAAAGTGGCTAAAGAACGTTTGGGGTTATTTGACAATAGCAAGAACATTAGTAATGACATCTAACATTTTTTTTCCCCATTCACTGCACACTAAGCAACGTATTAAGGGCATTACAGCTTCTGTAAATACATAACAACCCTAAGAAGCCAACATCCTTACATCTACATTTTGTGGATAAGGAAAAAGGAGCCTTAGACATGTAAAATTTGGAAAAATTCCAGAGTTAATATTTTAGAACCCAAGATTGCTGGACTCCAAAATTGGTTCCTTTAGCCACTATACAATCTGGTACTATACAAAGTGGGAGTACCATCTCAGTTCTCAACCCTATGAAAAATAAGTAAGGTGATGACCACATCATAGATTTATTAATTCACAACTATTTAAAATCTTTAATTTAATAGAAGTGTCAAATTTAGACTTCAAATGAAAATTGAGTGGCATTTATGTAGTTGGGGCTGCCATCTCTAGAGAGAGCTAAATGCCGAGGTCTTGGTGTTCCCCTTGACAGTGCTCCTTCTTTGAGTCCCTTTATTGTAAATCAGTAGTAGTATAGTCTAGCCTTTCTCTTAACAATGTGGGATTTATAACATCAAACATACCTGGTGCTAACATCACATTTGTATGACTCTCTAGAGTTATTCTGAGGTCTACCTGGACACTCTTACATTTCAGCCAGCTTATAATTAATGCTCAAATCCTAACAAAATGTTGAATTTCTATTAAGAGATACTAGCAGCTTCTTTGAAAATTTCCTATTTTCAACAATATTTTCAAAACAATTACACCCCCTGCTGTGATTTGCTATTTACTAGGTGCATCAAAAGTTCAGTAATGAAAAATGTTTGCAATTCAACAAAACATATTGTCTCATCTATGATAACAACTTTGGCTAAAAGATTCACATCCAACTGAGGGCTTATTTTATCTGAAATTTAATTAAGATGTTTCATTTCTTCCTGCAAAGTTTATGCAGGTAGTTAGGTACATGTCTTCCACTATTTTCTTATAATCTCCAACTTTATAAATTTATTAGTGATGCGTTCTTCAAATAATTTATGTTTGTGCTTGTCTAAAGATTTTGAGGTTTTAAAACTGTGAGCAAGAACAACAAATAAGATGCATGTGTTGTATTTTTTCACAAGCTGTAATTATGCTTATCTGGAGAATAGTGGTATATGTTAAGTCATAGATCTGATTTGCCTGCACATGAATAGAATTATCAGATAAAAGTATATAAATCCATTGGGATACTAATGATATTCACATCCCAGATGTGGGAACAGCTTTGGAAAATAGAGAATCTTTGAGAAGTTAGGCTGTTTTACTATGTTTCATTGCACTTACATAGTATCTTATTGTTTTCATATAAAACTGCATTTCTCTATTCTAGTAAACTAGTGGTTATTCCCATGATTTCTTTTGTTTTAGGGTTAAATTGTGTTTTCTGGTAGTAACTTAGCATTGCATGAAATATATATTTGTGTCTTTTCTCTTGATGTACTCGAAGTCTTAAAAAATCATATTTTGCCTACTATAAACAATACATTTCTGAATATATATGGGTTTTAGCAGGAATATAAAAATAGTGTAGTAATAACTTGCTTAGAGGTTTTATTTTTTGGAAGTAGGTAATGAGGTTGTTATAGTGGTTAACATGTTTAACCTTAGTTATGAAGTATTGAGACTAATTTTGAATATGAATTCATATAAATTCATGCAATGAATATGCAATTCAACAATTGCAAAATACTTTATGAGGAGTATCTTGTAAGTGGGTTAACCTTATAATCACATGAACATATGTTCTGTGTTTTACAAATTTTTTTCAAGTTTCATATTTGCACAATAGTTATATTAGTTTATTTTATATTATTTGATGATTTGAACAACTGGGTTTCTGGTAAATGATTTAAACTCGATAAGCATCTGAGTCACATTGATATCACAAACTGAAGAAACTAATATTGGGGAACAGTTTTTAATTTTGAATGTTTCAAGAGCTTAGAACTTAAGGTAAGTGAGACTCCTTGTTTTTTTGACAAGTGTTCTAAAGAGAGAGTCTGAATAAGATAAAGTCTGTGGGTTGAACATCGAGCAACCACTTTAGTTACCTCTTTGGAAACCTAGATCAGCTCAAATGGAGTTATGTGCTTGAAATTCATTAGGGTAATTAAGCTTTTGAACAAGTGAATAACATGTTTGAGTTCATTTAAAAAATTCCAGTACCTTAAAAATGTGTTAATTTATATGTTCTAGGGCCTGCTAAAATTAGCAGTAACTCCTCTTTCTGGATTGACCCAGGCTTTTCTTAAAATAAATAAATAAATAAAAGTTCAATGACAGAACTTTAAGGATATTGAGAGGCAGAGATGAATCAAATTTCTTCATGAACTCTTTATCCCATTTTAAGTGTGATTGTAGTCATACCCAGATACTTCTGTACCACTTCTATACCCAGATTGAGGATGGGATTCAAAGAGTATCTTATTCCTTAACCTACTGATAAACTGGTAGAGATACTAGAACAACAGTCTAGAGTGACAATAGGGAACTTTAGACCATTTAATGACTTTATTACTTTGTCTGTAGTGTCATCCAACTGTATGTTTGTTTCATCTTTTGACTTATTTGAAACAAAAAGGGGCAGTTCTCCCTGATAAAGGAATTACATGTAACCAAAGCATGCAGACATGCAACATTACTAATCTGGTCTTTTAAGTGAGAGGTTTACAGTAACGGAGAGTTCTTTCTTTACATCCATGCAGTTATGAGGCCCATATTCTGTCAAACAGTACTAATCTTGGCATATCTTCATTACCCATTAGACCTGTCTGTCACCATGAGAAGAACAAATACTAATATAGTGCAATATTAGGAAGATCCATTTGAGGATTTAACTAAGGGTTTCTCATAACATGGGGTCATACGTTCCTTGTTTAGTTTTTGGGTTTTTTTTTTGTCATCGTGTAATGTGTCCTTTTTTATCTAAAGAGTTAATAACTGTTGGGTAGCCTGGGTGGCTCAGTGGGTTAAAGCCTCTGCCTTCGGCTCAGGTCATGATCTCAGGATCCTGGGATCAAGCCCCTCATTGGGCTCTCTGCTCAGCAGGGAGCCTGCTTCCTCCTCTCTCTCTCTGCCTGCCTCTCTGCCTGCCTCTCTGCCTACTTGTGATCTCTGTCTGTCAAATAAATAAATAAAATCTTTAAAAAAAAAAAAGAGTTAATCACTGTTGTTTTTATAATTTATTATTAAAAATTATTAGAAATTTCTCTCTCCTTTAACAATCTCTCATCTACTCGGACTAAAATGAAAGAAAAATCAATAAAATGTTTCTATCTTATTTTTATCTTACCTAGACAGAGGAATACATTTGAAACTCCAGAAGGCATCCTGAATAATCCAGATTTTAAAACTATTTTGT